TGCCCTCCGCCTCACTCGCCGCTCGCACTTTGCTCTCCGTACGTTTTTGCGCGCAATTTTAATTTTAACGCGAACCGCTGCCCGACACAGCTCCGCACCGCGGTGCCGCCGCTGCACTTTAATCTTCCAGAAGAACGCCCATTGTGCATCGTCCTCCCTCCCGTCCGCTCCCACCCAGCTGTGCTTCCTTGCTCTCTTTCCTCGTCGGCCTTCTGTGCGCACCTTCGCAAACGTAGAGAAAAAAAGGAAAAAAAAAGCTAAAAAGGAAAGAGCGGAAGGAATTCCGCGGGCGTATACCGTCTCGTGGCACTCGCGCGAATTAAGTACTCTCGCCTCGCCATCACCCTTTGTTCCCGATACCGTTGCCAGCGATTTTTTTTCTGACATCCACGACTGTGTATACCGCGCGGGATTACAAACTCACTTGCGGCGAAGACTTTTAGATCGTCGGAGATGAAGAGCTTTTGATTGAGTTGCTATTCCATCTCACTTTGCAATTAAAACAAATGCACCATTGAATAATTCTAAATTCTTTTTTAATCCATCCCGTCATATATAAATATGGAAACAAAAATATTATTCACGTTACGATTTAGATATCGAGTAAAATTTGAAACTTCAAGTATCGCGACAAAAAAATAACTTCGAATTTATCGGTTTGAAAAATTCGATCCTGCTTCGATCGTTTTAATTAGTCTGTCGATTTGCATTCAAAATAAATCGCACGCTGCCAGCTGGCGAAATTTAATTCGGGCATTGCCCGGCGGAGCGACGGGACGACTTATCGATCAGAGCCCGGCTGATTAAGACGGTCCGCCGTGTCGCAAATCCATCCGACAGCCGTTCTACGGGTAGACGACGGGAAACTTACTTACTCACACCCACAGTCGTCCCGGGGCGAAACTCCATTCTTGCCTATCTACAGCGGAAAGTCACCGAAAGTTTGCGCCATGTGCTATCGAAGGGATCCGGGGGTCCGGGTAGTAGTACGTAGTCGAACAAACAAGAAAGTCGAAAGAAGTAAAGCGAGAACACCGGGGCCACGGTAGTGGCTGCACACCATCTTGCGGATTCGTCGTGTTTCGGTGCCTGCGCGGATTCATTCCCGCTCTCTCCTCTCTCTCTCTCTCTCTCTCTCTCTTTTTCAGTGGAAATGAATCCCGTGGAAATAAATTCGCGCGCAATTTACGATCCCGCCGCCAATTACGGCGTCGTCCTCGACGTTCTTATAAACGCAGCTACGCCGCTGTGAAGCGGTAATTTTCCGCCACGTTATCAGGGCATTGCATGACGACAAAAACTACGAGAAAATGAAGAGGATGGAAACGGGCAAAGTGCATTACGCTTTCGTCGGTAAAAGTGAATGGTAAACGAGCTCGATATCGCGACGCGTCGAACTTTTTCTTTTAGCGTAACAAGATCGTTCAAGTCGCCGTGCTATTTCAGTGAGCGGGTAAATGACAGACTCATAAATTACGCGCGCTCGCGATGATAATCATCAAGGAGATTTGAGAGGACGCGGCAAGAAGCGGCTCGGAGAAGCGCGGAGAATCCGCGTCAAAAGGTCTCGATCCTTGGCTCGAACCGGTCCAAGCTTTAGGGCGGACAAAGGGCGCGAGAGAGGAACGGGGGAGAGATTCGGAACCCGCAGAAATTTAGTTCCCAAAACGAGGGTCTAATCGCCGGCGCGATATCTCCCAGGACTTTACGATGCCGCGCGGTCCTACACGTACGCGCACACGTGTATGTGTGTGTGTGTATGTATGGATGCAGCCCGAGGCCCCCTACGTGCCAGCCTGCGCGGTAAAACATCGCCGGCAAGATTACACCGGAGTTTCGCCAGTTCCCGATGTTTTATCACGATGGCCCTCGGTTCTCCTCTTGCCGCCCTCCTCGACGTGCACGGCTGGCGACGTTGTCCCATGGAAAGTTGGATGAAACTCTACGAGCGGTGCGGCGATGCCTTCCCCCGTGAATCTCGTTTCGGAAAGGAGTTCGCATCTCCTAATCGTAATCCCCCGAAAATTCGCCGAAGAAACCGGCATCGAGAGACTTTTTTTCGTTTTCCTTTTTTTTTTGTGAATGAAGATCATTCATCTAAAGAGTATTATTGCATGACAACTCTCTTGGATTTCCACGGACATTGCGGTATAGAGAAATGATAAATGGTTAAGATTATGCAAAGATTTAGCGTATAATAGAAATGTGTGACAATATAATGGAAAAACAAGAAAAAATATTTCACAGTCTTTCCAAGAGAACAATATTCTTCTGATAATTTCCAGTTATTCTGTTTGCCGACTTTTATCCCTGAGAAAATTGCAAAACTGTAACGCACATTGCAATTTATCAACTTCGTAAATAATCGAAATATTAAAATGTTACATTGCAATGTTTTTAATACCGAAATTAGCGCTTTATATTAAAATAGCCATTTAAAATTATTAATTACGAATCAGACGATCATTAAGGCTACAATTCCAGAGAATGCTCACCGAGACATTCAAGAGCTTGTTATCAAATATAGACAATGGTGTAAATACAACTAGCATTATTGTCCCCTGCGAGGCTACTGGAAAATCATTAATAGCATAATGAGGCAGGATCCCACATTGAGTGAAAGCCCGAAATGAGATCAAACCGTAATCCGCCCAATATCGGTTAGGTAAAACCCCACCGGCTGCAATCGATCAAATTACGAAACCATTACATCATGTTACTGGTCTTTGCGCATTCTGTAGATGCGAACACTTCCATATGAATAGCCATTCCACAGCTCTGTTGTTCAACAGAACACCCTGTATAAATAACAAAAGCATTTTGATACGTACGTATCCTAATTTCTTACGATCTCGAATTTATTTAGTCTAAAACTGCGTTCAGATAAAATTATTCTCAAAGGAGAAAATTTAGATTGTATTAAATCAACATTAAAGTCAAATTAGAATTTTAATAGTTGATTGTCAAAACGTTGCAAATTGTTGCATTTTCAGCTTTGCAAGCGCGTCAAAAATGTTCCTACTAATTTTTTAGTCGCACACCGCTTAATTATACCACTAAATAGTTACTGTGCGCAACATCAAAGTCGTCACGAAAGCTCCACAACGATAATGAGATTACGACGAAGAATTAATCCGTTCGCCCGGTGTACGTAATCAGCCTCTGATTGTTCCATTCAAAGACTGCCAAATCTCCTCTGAAGAACGTCCGCGAGACGAATAATCCCTATTCCCGGGGAACAGTTTGCCGCGCCAAACGCGTTTGTTATCGAGTTACCGAACAGATGCGAGATTCGTGGAAGTCTGATATCGCGAGAAACTTTTCTGTTCCCCAGCTACGCGCCGGAGAATTCTCCTCGGATGCTAATTTACGCGACTTCATACACGCACGTGTTTCGAATCGATCCACAGAGTGCTCGTATACTTATGTGTTTTATACGCGCAGACGAATGTATCTTATCGAAAATGGAAAAACTGTAAAATTCGACCCCACTTTGTTACCATACTTTTTTATCTAAAAACTGGCTCTACCTAAAACATACTCCCAGAGTTTAGCGTGTTCTCTACAATAATTATATATGAAAACGGAAATACTTCAAATTTTCGTTTTTTTCTCACATCACTGTTTCGTTCAAACCAACAGTCACGTCGCAATATATTCGCTCGGATCCATCGACAATTTGCACGCGCTATCGTGTCACGAACTTACTTCCGGTTTGCGGCTAGAGCAAATACGAAGGGGCTCTGCACTTCGCAGAGAGATAGAAACCGTTCGAAAGCGCCGAGCGCGCGCAATGCGTCGCTTTAATCCAATTATTCCTAGCGATTAGTTCTCTTGTCTATCGCGCGTATATCCTTCCTTTTAGCCGGCTTTCGAATGTAGTCAGTCAGTCTAATTGCCCCGTTCGGCTTGCGCTGTCCTAATTGTTTGTTCCGTCGCGAGAGGCAGTATGCAGATGTCGGCGACGGGCGCCGAACAGCGCCAGGATGTCTTTAGCCACCTGCACTCTCTGCATTCCCCCCCACCTACGCCCTTCCTATCTCTTCTCTCTCTCTCCCTCCCCCCTCCTTTACACAGACAATCGGTGGAATCTGGAATGTGCCGCATTAGCGGCAGAGATGACTTCGTGCCGGCGCACAATTCGACGTAATTATCGGTCGGATTAACCGTGGAAATTCTTCGCGCAGTCATTCGCGTATTAATTCTGCGGAATCTGATGTCGTAGCGCAAGATTTAGTTTTATATGAGTAATTTCCCGTTTCCGATTCTGCAGTTATTCATCGCTGTCTGTTCCATTTTTGAAAAGTGCGTTTATACCGGAAATAAGTATCCCTCATCTTCTCTCAATGTACTTTAATATATAATTTTATGAGATTTTGTAGTTTTAATAACTAAAATGATATCGCGTGTCAAATAATACTCGAGTAATATTTAACATTCAAATTTTTCCTAGTATTATATACAGAACACTGAACGATACTTACATAATATTTAAGTGATATTCAAATATCATTGATTTAATCTGCAGAATGTTTGTTATATAATTTTCGCGAAAGATTTTAAATGTGACAGTGAGTTTTATATCTTACAATTAGCATTGAAAAGAACTTCTTAGATGAAGCAGGTTTTCAAATGTAGAAGCAAACGCCGATATCACTAGTTCATTCGGCGCCCATTTCCACTACGCATCCGGAGGTTAATATCGATAAACAGCATCGTCCGTTTGATTGCATACCGGACACGTAACAGTATGGACGCGTAATTATTTAGAATGGAATTAATAGTAACGTGATTTTAAATGTGTCCTGCTAATACGTGCCGCGTTTCCGATCGGTTTAATATCAGTCGGGGACAATGTCGGACATCCACTTAACTATTCATCGATCCGGCAATATTAATTCACCGGAAAATGTACACACCGGCGTCCAACCCGGTGATGACAGGGTCGAAAAAAAAAATATACCCTATTATTTTTTGAAAAGTCAAAACGTTCAACGTACCGTTCGACTCCCGCCACACAAGGCTTGATTAAACATTCATCCCACCGCACTATGAAGCAGACATTCCGGCCAATCGTTGGAAATTGCCGAATACTCGTCGACTGTAACATAAATGTAAACACGAATGATAGGAGAGCAGCGGAATAATTACACGATGAATACGCAGTAGCTGGATATTTTATAATTACAGCAAATTTGATGGTTCATCGAACGATGAGATGCATAATTGAAAGAGCGCGCGTATGCAAACTTAATTAGTGCTTAATTTAAAAAATTATAATGAATCGAAACGATTGCAATTAAGTTTCATAAGTGTAGAACTACATGAGGCATTTTCAATTAATATCTGGTTGTCTTTACATTATCGGAAAGTTAATTTAAAGTTGATTTAAAAAGAAATTCACACACTACTAAAATATGAAAAATTTTGATCGAGCGTAGAGAAGAATGGTAGAAAACTCGTGAAAGAATCGGTGCTCAAAATATTTCTGGTAACTTTAAAATAGGTCATATTCGCATTTCGAAACATACATCGTTACTACAAGATGGGTATCGCGGTATTACGGTAAATGGGATGCGACCCGAGATCATTATTTCTCCGCTCAACGCAGAAAAGCGTGAAAATCTCCTCGGGTGCATAAAAGCCGCGACGATCGGTAGAAGCGCTGCTTTGTGAACCGCGAGCTCGAGTGAGCATTACATCTAAGCAAGTACGTGCAACATCCTTGAAAAGTAGTCCAAGTGAATAATGACTCAGAACAATGCAGCGCGCAGAGTCGCCGGTTGCTTTGCGCGCGTGACTTTACCGGTGTGCATTCTTTGACGCGATGCAGTGGCACTCCGTGCGTGCCTCGCGCGACTTGTCACGTTTCCCATTCAAACGTCGACGCGCATTTTTTCCGCACGAGTGAAAAAGTAATGATCGCGATATCACAAAGCGGCAACATTCGTCGCGAGTATAATCACGCGCCGAAGTGCGCGACATGTATGCCGCGCGCGAACTGTGAAAGCAGACATGAATGTCACACTCGAAATGAGATACCTCCAAAATAATGCGTAGGAAGAAGAAAAATGAAGTCTCACTAAATAATTATGCTAAAATAATTATGCAAAAGCTGGTTCATATCAGGATTTTACTTTGACTCATTTTTATTCATTATGCGTATACCGCTATTCTGCGTAATGTAATTGTTATGCCATTCTGCAATTCATGACAGAATTTTCGTGATGAAATAATATGTATGATTATGATGTATGATTTTGTAAAAATAAAATTACTTTCTACAAAATCTCAAATTTCAACGGTATTTTCATGCGCAAATTTGTTTGCCTAATTAAAAATGACCGATATTTTATTAATGTGATACAAACGTGTTACAAATAAAAATATCAATTAATAATATTCGATTTCTCTGGAGCTACCGATCGTTACACATCGTCACACATGAAATCGTGTGGCGGCAATTCCCCGCCTGATATTTCTACGGCGGTGAGAAAACCGCGGGATCCATTGAATCACGAGGCAATCGAGTCTGACGACTGAGTCGGGGATATTCGAGGTCGTTCTTTTCCTGTCTCTCGTTCTCACCCCGCCATTTGTCTTCTCCGCGTGTGAAAGACTTCGGTCGCTCCCGACTCAGCTCGCGGGCTCACCTCGAACAAAATCATAAAAGTTTTAGCCTACTACAACTTCAAGACGCGAGCTGCGCTCTCTCATGTGTGCTTGGGAAGAAGGTTTTCTATGTTAGTCGCCTCGTGACACTCCCGATCGCTTTTGTTACTCCTTTTTGTATGTGTACGTAGACGGAGTGTTCCAGAAAAAAAAAGTGGAAATAGCCTCGCTATTTTATGAACTTTGGAGAATCGATTCTTTCTCAAAGATAATCAATCTCTGATAATCTGTAAGTATTACTTATCGAAATTCGTTTCTAAAATATCAAATATTTATACGTCGAGTAGCAAACACAATAATTAATTTTTATTCCACAAAAATTGATTCCGATCATATTTTGTTCATATTCTATAATGTTTTTCTGGTATACGTCCGTCGATTTCTTGTCTCTTTGAATCTTTTAACAATTAAAGGATTGCATATGCACACGTGCGCTTGGCTTTTCAGAGATAATTTAATTATCAGTGGTAATCGTTTGCACAGAAAATTAAAAGGCTCTTCGGGGATTACTTTTAGAATCAATTATCCTCCCCCTGCCTTCCTTGCTTATTTACCGTACGCGTCAAAACGCCACATCGTGGGTTTATCTATCGACGAGATGGAAATTTCGGATATGATCCCTCATATTGAAGCATAATTAATTAAGCAACAGCGGCGCGCTTCAACGTTATGCCGCTTGCAATCACATTTTCTAAATTGAAGGTAATTAAGAGCTTATTATTATATTGTAACGCGTATTAAAACACATACACGCGTCCGTGTATATCGCGGCAATTTGTTACGCTTTGTGAATTAGTTGCCGGCAAATTTATTAGTTGTTGAATTTATTAGCATAATTTTCGCCCAGCGCACGCTAACGAACCTTCTCGTGCTTCGATCCACACGTGATTTTCTCATAAACACATCCCCCTGGTTGTTAGACTCGTGTTTTTCGAACACATCGTTCGCGCTTCGTACATTCTTTAACCGGTATTTGCATATTTAAGTAGCTTGAAGCAAAATGGAGAGATTAAGCCCTAAATATACGATTCTTTAAATCCCGCGAGAAAAAAAGTATAGTAACCTAAATTTGTAATAACATAAATTACCGAAAAATCTCGGGATTTTCCCGTATTAAGCTTCGGCGGTGCAAATGGATAGCAAAACCTCGCTCTTCATTTAAATATAAATGGACCTCACTTGAAAAGAGATCTAATTACGGTGTTAATTACAACGATATTTAAAGTTGCACGTTTAACAGTTCTGAATGGAAATGTAATCAAATTTTCGTGAAGGAAAAGTCGACTCCAAGTTGGTCAAAGAATTCAAGTAGATGAGAGAAAATGAGGGTAATTCGGAACATCCTGCGTAGGACTTACATCCTTCAACTTCCTCAGTGATAGCGGAACAAATTACGCCAAAGGACCCGTCTGCTTTTTCTTTCCAGAGCGTGTACAATCTGCTAGGCGAGACACTGTCCAGGCTGCAGCAATATGCGGAAGCTGAGAGGTGGTTCCAAGCGAGTTTGGCCAGCCAGCCTGACCATGTGCCGGCCCACATCACTTACGGGAAACTTTTGGCACGGAACGTAAGTAGCTGCCGCTTTACTTTTAGATCGCCGCCGTCTGCCATCGACGCTCTGTTTCATTTTATCGCGATCTACTTTCCGAGTCTGACCAAGTCTGACTACATATCGACCGTTACTACTTGAGAAACTTTCACCGCGATATGCAATGCAACGCGCAATATAAGGATGTTTGGCTCAATACAAAGTCCCCACTCCTCCCGGCTTGCATCTTTCAAACTATATATTTTGCATCAAATATCGACCATTCCGGTCTCAAATAAATAACAATGGATAACAAAGTTTTGCCACAAAACAAAGCCGGTTTTTAGAGAACCAAACAAGATTCTTTTTTTTTTTAGAAATTCAGCGCTGAATATAAATCTATTTTTCTGGTTTTCATATCAGATATTGTTTTTTTCTGTGGCACTCGACTTTGTGAGTGAGCATCGCATATTGCATCAAAACTGTCAGCAAAAATGCGACGTATTTCTACAATAAAAAGAAGATTCAAAAATTTTGTTTACTATAACTTTAGAAATTCTATTTTTTTTTTTAATATCTAGTATTTGTATTATTTTCGAGATACATTTATATTCAGCACGGCACAATCCAACGGATATAATATATTCAAAAATATTGTTCAATGTAATAGAACAAGCTCCTCAACCGGTAACAACCGCCAGGGGGAGGGGGGACAGACAGGGCTATCGAGTTCGCGGTGGCTCACAAGTCGCCTCTGCTTTCTCTCTCTTTAGTCGAGCCGCGTCCTGGAAGCGGAGAGATGGTTCCTGAGGGCTCGCAGATTGGCGCCGGACGATCCTAGCGTGCACCATCATTACGGTAAGACGCGACCGAAAGATCCTTTAATTGCGATCGCGGGAAAGCGCCGTTGTCGTCATCGTCGTCGTCCGGAATTCAACAGTAGACGGCTCCGATTACCCCATCTCGTTTTTCCATCATCATCCCTCCCCTCTGCTACCCGCTTGCCGAAGATTCGCCTTCTGTCTCTCGACCGCGTCGTAATTTAAATATCTAATGCCCGTATTTGTAGTCCTCGCCGGCGGTGATAAGGGATCCTCGTTCATTATTAAAGCAATGAAATACGCTCTCTTAAGCACCCCCCCCTTCCCTGCCTTTGCGCCGATCGAACGCAAACTCCCACGCTCAATGCCGGTCGCCGCAGCCGAGACCCCATTGTAACAACGGTATAATTGATTCTCGATTCCCGAATCCGTTTTGAAAAGAAGTCCTCGAAGCTCCCTTCGAATGCAGAGAAAGGGAGGGGCATAGGATTGCGTCGAGAGAAAATCAAAGAAGAATTCGAAGAGTCGCTTAATAGGAGGAGGAGATAAGAGGATCGCCGATTCGTCGAGCCGCTATAAATACCGCTGTAATATTTCCTGCGGGATGATAAATCTATGAAAAAGGGAGACAGACACTCTAATCAAAAAGAAGGACGAATACTACGAAAATGAATTGAAATGCAGAGGGAGTGGATCGACGAGTATTAAAATTCCGGAGAAACGCAGCAACGTCGGGCGCGTTAATTGTCATCGAGATATAGAGACGAGCTTGCCGCGCGCAATCTATCACAAATCTCTTTCTTATTCAATGGAACATTAATCATTGATATATAAAACGTATTTTGTAAAATTAGACATTCTATTTTTATTTAATTGGTTAATAATAAATAAAATCTGTAATTTTGTAAGGCAAAGACACATCGAGTGCCTTAAATTTTTATCTTCTCATTTTTTTAAAAAAGGTTGTTCGCGCGCGTGTTTCATTGAGTTTCCCTCAAAAATATTCTTGTGAATGAATACTCTTATAGTATTTGCATTCTTTAATTTCATATTATTCTCTCAAAGTTTCTTACTTAAACC